TGATGCCTTCTAAGGCTTGAACTGTGGCTGTTATACTACGCTCATTTTCGCATAGCGCGAAGTATGAAACCTGCTAATGGACGAGAGTCTCTCTGATCCTGCTATGATATTCATATTCATATTCACATTTCATATACAAATTTACAAAATTATGTGCAAAAGGAGTAGTTACAGCACAACCACAATTTCTTTAGTTAAGAGCCAATGCATCGATTACAACGTTACATCCTAAAATGCACCACTGCGATATTCATCTTACAAAAAAGTCAAGAACTTTTTTATACTTGATCATTTTCAAAAGTCCATCTTAGGTTACGAAAATAAATACGATACAGAAGCTGACCAAACACGTCGATGCCTACGTTCTCCTTAGACGACTTAATTCATGTTGTACGACCTGTGAAGCTTAACTCAGTTTACAATTGATCGATGTTAACAATGAACATTTGTTAAGAAATTGCCATATCCTTTCTGATTCCAAATAGACTATTGTTGAGACAACGATATAGGTAGAAAAAGCGACTCCTTCGTAAGCTCAACTAACTGCCTTTTCAATGAGAGGGCGCGGGAGATCAGTTCGCGCTCTCTACTTCGCCACTGCGAAGCATACTTCCGCATTTGATCGTTTTCTGTCCAGTCAAGCTGCCATCGGAAGAACAACCTCCGCCATAGTTGGATGCTTTGTGGTGCAACAGACGGCCAAAGCACTGATTCTCTAGGTTCATAAGAGGAGTTAACAAATGATCGGAGTATTTCAGGATTATTGACGTACGACCACAGCGAAACAGTAGACGTTTTAACACCGAGCTCTGCTTTCATCATCTCATTATTGCCCAAAAACGAGCCAAATTCACTCGCATAAGCGTGCTCGAATAGGAATATCAAGAACTCCTCATCGAATTCAAAGGCAAGGGGATATTGAGAAATGATCTGATTAACGGCATCGAGAAAGCAGAGAAAAACCGGACTCTCTTGTGAACCGGTCACTGCACCTTGAGCATATGCCGAGTGTGCGTTTCGCAGTTGAAATGGATGTCCAGCACAAATCCATTCTCTTTCTATCAAAGATTGAAACCCTCGAATAGTCCTTACATCTGGGTCAAGAATAATTTGTGCCAGTGATGTCGCCAATAAAGTCGTGTCCGTTCCTTCCCCACCATGAACAATTACAGGCACCTCTTTGAGATGAACACACTGTGCAACATTGGCAGCACAGTTTAGGCTATCCGATACGCAGTGCAACCAAGACGAAATTGCAAGTCGAGCCATAAATCGGTCACAGGACACAAATTTGTCATTGCAAAGCTCCACAATCCTCGCTAATGCTAGTTGAATTTCACGTATACGAGGTATTGGAAAGTACATATATCGAAACTGTGAGTAGTACATTTGCGATTCATAGCCACCACCTTTACTCCTTGAATTCTGAGCCAGGTGTTTCGCTCGTGTATCGATAATAGTGCCACGACTATGAGCTAGCAGTGAGTTCAGAATATGCTCATCCTCTTTACAACGTCGATTAGTAGGACCAATAAGCGGTTGACCACACCTCACAATAGCCGACTGACTGCTGTTGTGGAAGTAGCTAAGTACGGGAAAACGAGACCCATCACGGAATGTGGCGCTAATTCTCAGATAATCGTCACCAATTCCCTTGGGCACGATCACTTTCTCAGGATATGAAGGGCAAACTTGAAATCCCTCATTGACGTTACTGATGCGAAATTCGTCACCACAGCGCACAATCAGACGAGCGAATTCCTCGCTAGAGTCGAATGCCTTCCAACCATCATCCAAAACTTGAAATGGACATCGATAATAGAATGGGTAGTCATGAGAACAACCATTGATATTAGATAGTGTCTCGATTGATCGTGCTGCTGCTTGGCAATCTTCCCAGATCGATATCTCAAAAGTGATTATCATGAAGTTTTTACACATGAGAGACAAAAGGCCACCTCTGGAAGGCTGGTCCTTGACGAGGGGCTCAATGCAGGCTCGATCAACAGCGCGATGAAGAAGCCACAATTCTTCCTCATTCTTATTCAGTGAAGGTGATTGGTTATTGGGAGAAAATATTAAATGATGACCTAGCAATACTAACGAGCCAACTTGTGATGCACGAGGTCCTGTTCGCATAAAGACATTGTTCACTCGAGACACCTCAATCGCGTCAGATAATTCCATCTCGTAAAGGGCCGAAGGGTGCAGGACGCACTGGATGAGGAGGGGAGGACGAGTGCTACGGAGCGGACGAGGAAGGTAGGCCGAGTACTACAGAGCGGAGGATCGCGTTTATTTGGGGCAGTTTGGAAAAACGTTCGTTTAGCCGTGGGTCAGATAAGTGACGCCGCAGCGGAGTATTTTGCGTCTCCAGTACCGCCCGCCTAACCATTGTTAGATTGGTATCCGAAATTCGTGTTTTTCGATAAGATGAACCGGAAATTCGGAATTGGTAACTGAATTAGATAAGACAGATTCTGAAACTAATTGAGCACCTCATCATTATTGCTTTTTAGGTTGCTGCAAGGTTTTCAAGAGAAGAACAATTACTGTTACGTAAAGCGTTGGAAGATTTGGTAGCACGTACTGATGTTGTGAGTTAGATTATAATTGTTTCCAATGTAAAAAAAAATGCAAGTAGGGGCTGAGAGGATAAGATACATGACAAAACTTTTTGTAGTCAGTACGTAGAAATTTTTTTTAAAGCAGTGTTCAACAGTGAAGAAGTAAAGTTGAGTGTGCTAAATTCATATTCATTCACTTTCAGCATTCTCCGCCGATATCAGATGCTCAAATTCGTGCCCTATTTCTGGTCAATGCTTTGCCATTTATTGGATTTGGCTTCCTCGACAATATGATTATGATCGTTGCAGGGAACTACATCGATCAGGTGCTTTGACCTTTTGAACTTAGCAAAAGCTTTGTATTGCTTTTTTTGCTGTGTGGTTGAAAGAAATTCGATGGTATCATTCAAGGGGTTGGGCACGTTGTTGTGCCTTTCAACCATGGCTGCAGCTGGTTTTGGAAATTTGATATCTGATGTGGCTGGTGTTGGCCTCGCACACTATGTCGAGAGCGTTTTCCACAAATTAGGAGTCAGACATCCAGTTCTAACGACAGAACAGCTGTGCAGTTCTAGGGTACGTTTCAAAGTGATTTTTCATTGAATATAGCTGCTAATTGACTTCTGCCTTCGAAGACCGCTTGATTTCTTCACACTTCAACGTCCTAGTTTTCCTCATACATTTTTACAGAGAAAGCTCTTTTTTGGTGGAATCATGTAATGCTCCTGAGAAGTATTTGTTTGGAAAAGTCTATAAACGCTAGTATAGTGTAGGGGGAGGGTGGAGTAGCACGCATACGTCGAACTGTCAGCGGAATGGTATTGTTTCTCCGCTGTTATTATAATTCGAGCTACTTTGGCAGGGTTGGTTTAGGTAGACATAAGGCGCCTATCAGCCTGAAGTAAATATAAATATATGACAGTTGGATAGCGTTGTATATTTTCTATGAGAATTTGATGACTCTAGCCGTTACCTTCTATTTGTATGTGAACAAGAAATATCCGCTTTGTTTGGATCCTATAATTCTATGTTCTATGGTCTGTTTTCTTCAATGTTTCGACTTAGTTTAGGCTCGTTGGACGACAAATGCTGCGCGCGCTTTTGGACTTTCAATCGGATGCATCATTGGGATGTTCCCATTGTTATTTTTTGACCCAGATAGTAGCGAAAATGCTCGGAATAAATCCGAGACTTCCCCGAATACGTAATAGATACTTTCCTTAGTTTTAACTATTGTGTAGTCCTTCACCTAGTCATTCTCATTCAGGTCATTCACAACATATAATAGTGCTTTATGAACTTGCTATAGAGATTCTCTGACACAGTGTAACTTGTAGCGAATAATTCTATGTATGGAATTATTGAAGACGCGGGAATCTCCTCAACTACCACATCTGAATATTCCTCGAATGATTTCAATTGTATGTATTTCTCTTATGATGCATGTGCCAGAAATTGTACCAGTGTCTTAATTCGATCTAACAAGCGTAATACAGTCTGTGCCCTAATGGTACGTTTTAACTACCTTTATTACCGTACTATAACTTAGAGCGATTAAGTGTTGCAATGGTAAACCTGTTTCATGTTGTTTTACCATTACTTAAGCTAGCTCTAACGAGTCGAAGTTGTATATATTACTGCGATCGATGCTTGTAGTCCGGAATTCGTGTCAAATTCAAATCCCTATTTATTAAAAATTGCCGACCTCGAATGTAAATAAAGTTGTAAAACACGGTGTATCGAATACCCACGAGGGTTTCTGAACCAAGACTATATTCTAGCAGGGGAAACTCGAATCAATGCCATCACTTGGTGTTGACAGAGCTAATCATTTCAATTTCTTCACTAATAGCTGTCTCTCTTGTAAATAACTTCGATCACTGTTTACTACTCAGGAAGAGAGGTTGTGCGTGAATAATAGTCCTCGGCTGAGGGTTTTCTTCGTCGTAATGAGTAACCCTTACTTTGCCACGTACGTGGAAGATCTGGAACAGGTTTGTGAAATGTTTTCTATACTACTACTGCTGTTACTACTTATTTCATGATCAGGGGGCTGATCAGACCACAATGGTCCTTGATCAGGCGTGGGAATGTGAGACAAGGCTGAATTCTTCATAATTAGTGTTTCCTGTATCCAACATTCTCCCGCATTTGTACATGCTTTCTCTCATTGGCTGCATTAGCAGAAAAAGCTCATTTTTATCCCTCTGAGAACATTTCTCTACTCAAAATGTGGTCGATCTTCTTAACGGCGGGTGGAGAGATTAATGGGATTGGATGAAAAGGAGGAAAAATCTTATTAATCTTAACACCTTTGCCAGTCAAAAATGTTTCAATTGAGTTCTACAGGATCCGTTCGATGCTATTGATTTCGTCGAGCGAGTGGCATGGCGGATGACTGGTGGAGCAGAAACTATCACCGATCCTGTTTCGTTAAAGAACAAATTTGAAGAAGAAATAGGCAGCCTGCAAATGCTCTGTGATCAATTTCAGGTCTGTTTCTGATCAGTCTATCGCAAATACAATGGGAAACGTGTTGCTTCATTTTTGAAATTATGACATTGTCCAAAACGTGGAAGTGTTTCTTAAACGAATCTGCATCAGCAGAATTGCCAAGTTAGGAGACGTTATTTCGTTGAAAGGTATCCTATACGTCATGCCTTGGGACAAATGAGCGAAATAACTCGATATACCGTGATAACCCAAAGTGCAATTGACGTCATCTGTTATCGCATATCTAACACCATCGTTTCTTTCGGGGAATGCTAATGGATTTTTGAACTCTGCTGAACGAACAGCCGCTTTACCAGCCACTAATGATATTCAAGAAAATGGAAGGACTGTAAGGAATAATGTTTTCCATGCTATTCGCTAAGGTTTATATAAAGTTCTCGGACCGTCACGCGAAATACCTTGTGCTGTATTTCTACGAATCTGGGTTCGTCTACAGCCGGAATTCTCCTTGCTGAATGTTATCACATTTTTTGTTTGAACTCACATTTTAGAGCAAGATTGCTATGCTGGAAAGTGAGCTAAACAAAGACAAGCGTGAATACGTCAATCAACTACAGCGATTGTACGAGCGAAACGCAGAAGCAATTGACAAAATCAAGGTTTGTAGTAGTATCTTCACTATGAGCTGTCTGGTGTGTGATGCTTTAATTGTTCACATTTTCAGCAACTCGATGCTACTATGCAGTCAGTTTCCACCAAGGTTGTGCATTTGGGAGATCAGCTGGAATCGGTATGTTCTTTTTCGTAGTTCGAGAAGGAGAAATAATTAGTTGCATAATCTCAGCAGCAGTCGCTTCTAATCGTTTATCCCCACAATGCGACCATCAAATATGTGCACCTCTCTAGGTGAGGTTTAAGCGTCAGTGAAACGTTGCATAGGACCTTCCCAAATATTTCGCCCGTCACAGTTGTGCTATCCCTTTCGTTTATGTAAACCTTCATTTTTGAAGGTTCATCAACCGCGGCAACGAGCACATGATGCCCTTCAACTTATTCAGCATTTTGATGAATTCCTGTCAGATCAGCCTCTGAACTCCATGATATTTACCGATCCAGATAAGGTATTGCAATGGTTCTCTGTTTCTGTTCTCAACTCCGATGACGACAATCCTTCAGCTTCTTGAATCTGCGGATTTGGTGCAGAAATTGTACTCGATCTCACAGGAGTTGTCGAAAGACAAGTTCGTAGCCGTGCAAGCCAGGATTGCGCACAGGTACGGTACCTTGGAAAGGCTTCTTAGGTTGATTTTGTTATTTCTGTGGCTTTAAAGGTACGAAGAAGTTGAACGGCTTCTTATTGACGAATTTGGACGTGCACAGCGCGATGAGAAAAAAATGGCCGAAGTGGCAAAAATCCTAAGCGAGTTCAAGGTTGGCCTTCCAAACAGGTCATTGTTAAACTGCAAATGGAAAAGTACGAGTTGTCTTTTAGGGTTATTCCCATTGTGTCGCACGTTATGTGGAATACATCCAGTCGCTGTTCCGCACAGGTAGCGATGATGTTTACTCAGAGGCACTTCAACTTGTAAGAACGCACAAACCAAAGATAGAAGCTATTTTTCCCAGTCCGACTGCAGTCGTTCAAAAATTGGTAGCGTATTTGTCAGCTATTACATAATTGCTTTTAATATGAAATTCTCAGTACTTCCATTCAGATTTTGAGCCTATACACCGGAAGGCTCAAAGACCATATTTATGCGAAGTTGCGGGAGTGCAAAGAAGGTGAAGACAGGGAAGGTTACTTGGTAGGACTAGCTCAATCATATTCGAGGTGAGCAGCCAAGTAGTTTCTTTCGTTTTTGTATTTTTCATGAATCTCATGATTTTTTGTTCAGCATTCTCCGACTTAATAAAGAGCTCGATGCTCTTCATGTTAGTTCGGATGCGTCTTTCTTGCCAACTTTGACTCGTTCCATATTCGACAGGTAACTTTTTTGAAAATAGATGTGGTGGGCTTCACTGTCACTGTTTTACTCAAAGTTTGATCATTATTTACTTGGAGTTGGTGTTGTGAAGAGTTGTTGGGAGTAGGTTATCAGCTATGCTGTTGATTGCATTGCTAGCTTTACAATCTAGTGTTTTTACAAGTGACCAGTAAGAATTAAGTTTTGCGCGACGGTATTCCTCATCCAGTTCCAGCACACATTCGAAAACCCTTCAAATAGAGCAAGCGGACTAAGCTTTAGTTTATTATCCATGTCTTAAAGACTGGACGAGATGTTTGGTGAGAGTTTCGGGCGTCTAGGTCTGATTACGAGCGTTTCTAAAGCATTTCAGCATGTGTTTTGAAATGTGCTGATATTGGCCTATAACGCTATGCACTGGTCATAGGGAAGATAGTTGGAAAAAGTATGAATAATGATTTGTAACAAGACAGATTCGAGTAAATTCCAGGTACTTGTCTACCTATCAAAGCGAGGAGTTAGATTATCTTCATGCCCAGTGCAGCAACATGCTTCAGCGATTTTATGAGTCAAAGAAACATGTGAAGAAGCAGATCCATAGTGGAGGGTGAGTTCCTGCTGGCTAACGTCTTTGCTTAGATCGTGCAATTATTAAAATATAGACGGATCGAATTGCAGACTGCAGGAGTTGAAACGAGACGTGCAGGCGCGCTTGTTAACTGTAGAAACGTATGGTGGAGAGACTTTTCTATCGGAAGATGTTGCTATAAGCATTCTGCAGGAAACCAAAAATGCTTTCAACAGGGCATCTCAGGTACACTTTCAGAAGAATCGTATTCGACCTCATTTTCTGCTAATAACGTTGACAGGGTGATCCTTAAATCTTTTAAACTGACTTCTTTGGTTCTCCTTTAAATTTGTGGGTGTGGTGACTTCGATTTTATATCTTTGAAAGTGTGATCGGAGAAAGCGATTTAAAAGGAAACAAAGTGAAAAACATTTTAAAATGAAGTCGTACTTATTCATTTTTATCTCGGCTATGATAGCTTGACTATGTTTTAGAATATACTATTCTGCGTTCTTGGTGTTTCTATGTTTCGTACATTCTGTTGGAGCGGAACCGATCTGTGTTAGATTACCTCTTGCAAATGCAACTGTTTCTTTGGGCCTTTGTTAAAATAACAGCGACGTTCCCAACTTAGGGCAGCATCCTATCAGATTGTAATGCTAGGATTCAAACTAAATATATGTGCGTATTTAAAAAATAGTTGTTTATCCCATATAACTTCCCTTCTGTATGCCGTTCATCATTGAATATGTTATTTGCAGCTTTGCGAGAAGTCTGAAGTTCCTAAGCACAGCGAAAACATATTGGATATTTTGCTCAAGTATCTTTACTCTGAACATCTCGATTATGCGGTTGAACTGGCTATATCTGGTAAGGTACACATGATTTTTTCATTAAACCCCCTTAGGCATGACACTTCATTAAGGTATCTCACTGGCCGAGCCGAAGGTTGCCCCACCTGCCTATTTCTTCTCTGTTGTTTCACAAAACACTACAATAGTGCTGTTGTTGATGAAACAGTATGAGGATTCTGTGCTTCCCTTGATAAAGTGGGATACATTCATTCAAGTTGCAATCCATTCCTTAAGCGTAGTACCTAAATCTTCTATTTTAGAGGCACCGTCGTCGAGCAGTGTGTAGCGAAAAAATGGTCTTCATCCTTGCGGTCACTAGAGCAGAAAATTAATATGGGACTTGAGCGACAGTTGAACGCCATAGTTGGTTATGTCCGATTTGTTCTAACGTCAGAACAGAAGAAAGCCGATTTCCGACCGGATAATCAGCAGATTAATTTACAAGCCTCTGTGGTGCGTGTTTCATTTTCTCTATGCTCTCGTATCTGTGAATACCTTGATCTCAAACGGCAGAATTTTAGCCTTGCCAGCAAGTGGTGCGTTTCTTAGCTGGACAGGCAGCCTCTATGGAGCGTGGATGTGATGGAAGCAATCTAGTAGTTTTACAAACTGAGTTAGCCAACAGACTGTACAAATTGCTGCTTAACCATATACAGCAGGTTTGTTATTGTTTACGGTAACTCACTCCTTGGCATATTGGCAGTGCAATACCAGGGTTTCATAATCGGTCAAAAAGTTGCCATTAATGCATTAATGGAAATGAATCGATCCTATGGCAGTCATAGCAATCTATTTCCCCACAACTGTCAAAAAAAAAGCGGAATCATCCTTCAAAGGCAAAATGTTGTGTTGACAAATGTTGAATGACAGACAAATGTTTTAGTTCACTTTCAACTCAGCTGGGGCCATGCTTTTGCTATGCGATCTGAACGAATATCGGAAATGTGTTTCACAATGGCGTTTGGAAGCTAATGTGTCCAGACAATTCGAGAGCCTTCATGCACTGGCAAATCTTCTTGTTGTACTTCCCGACAATCTCTCTGATGCTGCTCATAGTCCAATGCTGGCAAGTTTTTTTTATACTGTGATGTTTTACTTTTTTGAACAGACTAAAGTATCAAGAGGGTTGTCGTAAGATATTAGTAGGTAAAGTAACTAGATAGCTTAGTAGAAAATAAATGTAGGGTGCTATTAAACCGAATCACCTCACTTGAACGTTGTTAGTAGAATGTCGGAGTGGGAGCCTTGTGGTGACCCAGTAATCGAATCGTTCAAAGTGTATGACCTTTGCAATTTAGAAACAAAGTGACCAGCGTAGACTGATCCCACCGTTACCTCTTCCCGCTGGGTGAGTATAGATTCATTCCTTGGTAGTCTCTTGATTTCACTGCAGTGATTCTCATATGTGATTGTCCGGAAACTATCAACTGACAGTCAATAGGCTTGTTCCGAAGGAAAAGACGTATGTAGGAAAAGGGAGATGGTGTTAGAAATTACCTCTGAAAATAGCTCGTGGGAGCGATGAGCGGCGCCTGCCAAGAGGTGGAAATGTAAACGAATTTGGGGAGTGGTGCTTAGCTAGGCAGGATAGTTCAAGCTCGAGATCACTGGAGGAACAAAGATGCGATAGAATCTACATTAGGTTTTATTTATGGGTACCATTTCAGGCTGACGTTGACCACATCTTGATACAAGACTTCATCAAATTACGACATGATTACAGGAATCTAAAGTTCAGCGTGAATTTGTATTAGGTGAGAATTATTGCCTGTGTGTACAGATTTATAAGATAACTAGTATTTATTCTTGCTTATGACCTCTCTTTCATATTGATGATATTGGTGCAAACTACTGCTGTGATTGATCTGATAAATGTTTGTTTTTTCCTTGTGTTCAGAAGTACCACAGGTTTTTCCTTTTGCAATATCGACACGCAAGCACCAGCTAGTGTATGCTTTCGGATTATGTTGTCTTTTTTATGATTTGATCTACCGTATGTCGTTGGCTGCCATTCGTTTAAAAGAGGAAGGTAACAAATGTTTTCGTGAGAAACGTTACCACAAGGCTATCGAACTCTACACACAGAGCCTACAAAAGGAACCCTCAGCTGCTGTATTCGGTATCATTTCGATTATTTCATAACGACTAACAACAATTTTTCACGAAAAAAAACGGTAGGCGATTTTTCATCCTGGAGTACACTTGAGAAGACCGTATGTAGCATGTCTAATCGTTCTTGGGCTGTTGGCCTCAGATTGTTCTTTCTGGCGGCCTCGAATTTCTCTTCACCCTTTCATTGAAGGGACAAAGTAACGTCACGAGTAATGATTTACTTCGAGAACAATCAACTAGCCACATATTCAATCTCTGATTACACGGTCTGTCCTTGAAATGCCATCTCCGAATGAGCCACTATTCCGACCATGATTGCTTCACTATCGTTTTTTTTTTCATTTGGCACTCGGAGTGTGAGAGAGTCAGATAAGTGTCGGGAACTGTCGATTGCTGTCAACTGACTATAACTACCAGCCATACCGTTGAAGCAGATGTGCTACTCAGCGAATGTTTTACTTAACGGAATCGATCTCATTACAAATGGCAACTAAAAGTTCCACCATGACACTACACACAGTGCCTGGGGGGTGATTAAAAATCGTTAGTTTCAATTATAGTGTCAAATTTTCCCGCTGGCGTGCTTCGCCTGTTTCAACGTCCTAGAAGAAATGAATCGATCCTGATAGGGGGTGATACATATTATAACTTTTGCTTCCCAGACGAGTTGGGTGGCAACTGGTTGTCCCCGACGATCAAATGCTTTGGAGAGTTTGAATCTAAAAGGGGAAGGATGCGGTAATCGCCGCAAAACCTTTGCCGCTTGCCGTGAGAATACGGGGAGAAGTACAGTCCAACTACTTTCCCTCCCTGTCTCCCTCTCTCTCTCCTACAAGCGACGACTTCTATTACTATCGCTGCATTCATCTAAATAAAATGGCCAACTGAACGTCCATGGCTTCCTTCGAAAAATCTGTAGTTTTGATGGATAGCCGTAAGGAATAACGTACCAGATTTCACAGTTTTCTAGCCCTATCCCTCCAAGTTAAGAAGTAAAAAGGTTATGCTTCCTTCTGATGCTCATGTAAGTAAAGATTCACCGAGGGTTGTCATTGTTCTTCAGCAAAAAAGTTCTGCTTGAACTGTTCAGGCGTAAGTCCAGAAACACTACTGTATCAAAAATTGTGCTTACTTTGTAGGCAACCGTGCTCAGTCATATCTGAATCTGGAACGATGGCCGGAAGCGCTTATGGATTGCAATCGAGCATTAGAACTCGATCCCAAGTTTGCCAAGGCCTTGTACAGGTACAGTGCTTGGGCTAATTTTCGTAATCATCGGATATGTTTGCCTAGCAAATTCACTCAAGGAGAGCTTGTGCTCTGGATAAGATGGGCTTGAAATCTTCCGCTGTAGATGATCTGGATCGATGCTTAGAGGTGGCACCCAATGCTGCTGCTTCTGCTTTGAAAGAAAAGTTGAAATGGGAGGTAGGGTTTTTTTTCTTATTGACAAGCAGTTATATCAGGTTCTTTTGACAGCCTTGTCAAACGGTAGGCAGCTGTAATGAGGTACAGTAGTCCGTTGGTTTTCAGCGTGACGCCGACGCTATACAAGTGGAATGCATCGAAAAAGGAGATGAAATCCGCTCAGATGCAGAGTTTGTTGAGATTGGCATCGAAATCCCACAAAGTAGTGCAGAGGATCGAACAAAATCGGTATGAATTTCCAAATTCCTGAGCAACGCTGAGGTTATTCAAAGGCACAGTTCACGATAATTCTCAGGCCATTAGTTCTACTAATAATGGAAGAAGTCCAGAATAATGCGAAAAAGTCGAAGGGAGCGGGAAAATCGGCGTATTTAGAGTGATTTAAGGTTTTGAAAAAGAAGTAACATTAGGCATTGGACGAGAATGTGACGACAGTGCACGGAAGCAGTAATTGGATCGAATGCGTGCGCCGTTGGATACAGCTGGCTGCAGTACGCTGCCTGCGTGCAATAAGTGGGTCCCGGTGCGAATGGTGGGAGCTCTACAGCTTTAAAAAGGCTCAACGACGTGTTCGCTTTGGGTGTGTACATTGGCTAGGCCGGTTCAGTGGCCCTTATTGCGCCCTATTTACCCCTTTTTCGACCTAACAGCGTCCCTTAGAGGATCCACAAGGGGAGGGGAAGTCGCAGGTTCTCCCAAGGGGGAAATCTCAGACATTATTTTTAACAGGAGAAGTGCCTTCAAGAACCTTTAGTGATTTAGAACCCCAACGAAGGATATCCGTGAATTTCTGTGTTCAACTACAGAGCTGCAGAAAAAGGTCAAATAATTAATTTTATAGTTGTCTATTATTACAGGAACCTGTGATTGACGAAAATAATACTGAAGAAGGTGGAAACGACAATTTTCAATTCCGAGTTCCAAAAACACATCGAGAGTTCTTGTTGGACTATCGGGAGTTACAACGGTTTCCGCCGGAAAAATTCGTCAAGTATTTCTTAGTAAGTTAAGAAGTGCCAAGATTCTTCTATATGGTTTTTTTCCTCACGCTAAGCTGTCCTTTCTTCATTCCCTTGTGCCCCTTGACCATAGTGCTGGAGGTATTCTAAACTTGAAAACTTTTCATTTTTATTGTAAGTAGCTTCTAAGTCTTCAACGTCTAGTGAGCGCCGGTGGGTGCCACTATGACTGGCGCATGGGACCATGGCACCCAATGTTGAGTGCCACCATGTTTTTTTCTTTATTTGAACATTTGAAATTTATTCAATATTGTCATATTCATTAAACAACTCCATGGTATTTATATTCAACATGGTCCACGTAAATGTTTTATAGGAGCTTATTAATTACAAACATAAGTAGTCACTGGAGTAGTACTGAAAAGGTTTAGATACTTTGGCAAGACTTGTGTGTGTCCTGTAAGCATTAGAGACAGCACTTAGAATACTTGATTCGCGACTATGTGACTCCGCGGTCGATCCCTTCATCCTCAAGTTTCTTGGATGTTATACGAATTCCTACTGATTACACTATTGCCTAAATTCTAACCTGCATTGCTTCCAAACCCGGAGTGCAAATCTAAGCCTAAGTTCAATATAAGATTAACTAAGATCTGATTGATGCTCCTGTTATGCGGAAATATTGCTGATTTTATTAAGCCAGAGAAATGAGTTCCTCTTGGGACCATGGCACCCACCGGTGGGTGCCAGTCGCGCACAAAATAGAGTGGGCGCGGTCCCATGGGCACATCACGTCGAAATCGGCATTGTCGTCAAAGGGTCAATCGTCAGCCATTAATTGAAAAAGGCTAAGAAGTGATTAAAACAGCCTAGTAATACCTAATGATAACTCTCCTTGGCCTTCTAACGTATCACTAAATACTTTAGTTTCTTTTCTGATAATCGCAATCTATAGAATTTCAGGCGATCCCAACCTCTACCTACTCGTCCGTGTTCGGTGAACTTCTTGAAGCCGACGTTATCGGCAGGCTCTTAAGAGGGTTCGCCTCACTTCTTGAATCGGGTGATGTTGAAGTGGACGAAGTTTCGACGTGCCTGCTTTCTCTCTCAGATCTCCCACGATTCCAGTTGTTGTCAATGTTGTTCGGCGATAATGAAAAGAAGGGTAGGTGTCTCGAAATACTGCCCTGGTTATTTTTTATACAGAATATAAAGGATAAAGTCTTTGGGCGTTGACCATTCCCGTCCGAAAGATGCACCCCACCATTCGACTTTCAAACAGAATTGTAGCGGCGCATTGTATGCGTATGTGGATTATACAATGGTTTGCAGTGGCCAGCCGATGTGCACGTCAACGCTTTTATCCTCCCAGACGAGTCTAGTACCAATTCACCGGCCCCGGAAGAATGGAAGGCTTGGTTGGTCTAGGCGGATATCGAACTGGGATTTGAACCCGCCATCGCGCGTGTAAGATAGTGCGTCATTTACCAGTACATCATCTCCGCTCGGGGAAAGAAGCATAGGCCACCCAAAATTACGGGAAGCTTCTAGGCCTTCAGTGCATCGAATTGACTTTGAATGCAATTACTTCTTAGATCTAGGTGAAAATGGCAAGTAATACTGGAGTATGCTGTCTTCCGTGACTTGCAGATCTGGTCATCATCTGCCATTTTTTGTCGCGCGCAGATAGTGTCACCATACGCGAGAAGTATGGCGTAGAAGAAACATCCGTGGAGTGAACTTGTAAATCATTTTTGTTTTTTCTGTACTTGCTTATCGAATTCCTTGTTTTTGTTTTTATTTCATTGAAGATCACATAAATAATATTTTGTATAATTGTTTCGGAATAGCTTTAGCACAGCTAAACAAAGGTCTCGGAATTGTGGAATCATAGGTTTCCTTACTCTACAAGCTTTGTTCGAGCTTCTTGAAAGGAACTAGATGCCAAAGGAAGTGTCATCCGCAGTTCAGAGCTGCATGAGCAGTAGCTTTTGTCAGAGTCAAGTCACAGAGGTAAACAAAGATCATTAAACGTCACGGGAAGGTTTCTGGATATGAAACTGTGTAGATGAAAAAACTCACTTTCCATCCAAGAAGTTCCAAGCAATTCCTTTGAAGTGAGCCTCAGGAAGCGGCGATTTGCTGGAACTCCATCACATCGTAAACGGGTGTTAGGTGAGATGTAACGTGGTGGTCGCGTTGCCTGATACCTCTAAACACGATGGTGTCGCTCACACGGAACCGTCTTACTGCGTGAGAGGGAGCCCCTCACCCTTGAGGTGTAATATACGAGTAGCCAGAGCTACATAGCGCGGGAATACGGTTCTGACAACTTGACCCCCACGGCGCATTCCGACTTAAGCAACGTCGTATTAATCGGAACTATGGAGTAACAACTGGAAGAGAGTAAGGTAAGAAATGAGGAAAATTCATCAGCATAATCATAAGCCAATTAACGATTACTAGGCGAACCATAAACTGAGTGGAAATAACCACTTTTGAGCTCTAACTCTTCAAGAAGTGTTCAGTTCAAGGCTTTTTTTTAGGGATGAATCCATACAGAATTCCATGTGGAGTGTTTTGTTACTCTAGATACTAGCTTCTTTTCTCCAGAAGCTTTAATGTGAATCGTGGCTTTCTCGAGTGCAAGACGGTCTTATTAGTACACCAGCTGATGGCTTCACATGCTTCGACGTTTTTCGGAAATTGAGCAGGCCGCGGTGCAGGAGGAATTGACGTAAGTAGCCCCCAAATGAAGTTCTGGTCCTGAACGTTGTCACGACTGGGGCGAGACGCGTTGCCGACCATAGGAAACCTAGTGAAAAGATCACATTACAGAATAGATGAGAGGTAAGTCCCATTACAATTATCACTGGTGAATACAATTATCACGCTTGGGAACGATAAAGGAAGTAAGTGAGCAAGTAGAGTTCAAGGAATTTCTGTAAGCTGTTTCTTTAAATATTATCAGTTACAATATCGTTCCGTTGATCATAGATTCCCCCAAGCAAGCGGCAAAAACGTCTCCATTCATCCCTGTCGCGAGTCGGAGTAGTCCAGTGAATCGTACTCGCTCGAGAGACACAGGGCAGAACATTCCTTTTGTTAAGGACTTTTGTGACGAAGTCTGACCATCGCGCCGGCGGCCGCCCTGGTGTTCGTTTGACGTCCCGAGAAATCCAGTCCGTAATCGCCCTGGTCCAGCGATGATCACTATACCGCACGACGTGCCCGGCCCTCCTGATTTTCGATTACTTGGCGTTCTCAACGGCATCCTTGATCTTCGTTTGTCGACGGAGCTCGGAACTCCGTATCCCCTTCTGTACTTGCGTGTATAGCGAAGTTCCGAACATCGTCCTGTTCACAATGACGCTAACTGCATGCTCATCCTGCTTTCGTAAAGTCATCAGCTACAGTACAGAAAAATTGTGATATCAGCTTGAAAAACACCGGATAATAAGACAGATAGAGGTATAAAAGGGAGCAGACTGCATGCGGTAACTCCCATTCTTTCTTAATTTCAACTCGCTTGGTTCGTTACTGAAGAAGATGCTCGCTTATGTAAGGCTGCTTTCATTGAGACTGTTCTCTTGTATCCAAAGAGAACTAGCCTAACAGGACTATCTTGACCTGTTCAGGATGCGGACCTACTTCTTTGGACCATACTTATTGTACTTGTTGTTTTGATATCGATGTCCTTATGCGGTAAGGTGGGTCTCTAATGCCTTCGAATGAAGGCTCACTTCGATTCGTACTTCCTCGGTTCTCTTCTCTGAAACGTATTTCATTAAGAACAGGAAAACTGTGCACGAAACCGAAGAGGATGAAGAGGATGTAAAGACAGCAGTTTCAAAGAAGGTAAGCAGTGAATGGATTGGTTTTTGAGGGTGCTCATCAGGTCCACGTAAGTCATAGACAAAAATGAGAACCCATCCATTGGAGCTACCTGCCTCTGAGAATTTGCGATGAAATCAGTAGAATGATGGATCTCTATTGCGACGGGAATTCAGCCCCTGGAAGTTCAAAATTTTGGTTTCTAACGCCAACATCGAACTTGGGAACTTAACAGGATTCGAAAGCTGGCGCTAGAATCCATTTTAGTAGGCAGGTCGAGGCCAGTAACTTTATGACCGCGTGCTCAGTCCCGTAAACCGTCGAGCCAGATGCGAATTTTTCACGTGCGGCAAGTGGCACATTCCCGTGGCGTAGTCTGCCGCAAGCGAAACAGCTTCTTGTGATGTTTGCAAATAGTTGACGCTGGCTTTGAAAATCCATGGCCAGATCTAGCAGTACATTCCAGTAATATAATCGTCGAGCAGACTGATGATGAGCAATTCGGTCCTGTACCTAATGCCCTCGTATTACAGATCACCGGGTTATGGGATCTCATTTAGAAATGGCATTCCGAGCTCGCCGCACCCACTGCGTGCGTGCGTATCGCGGGTGACTGCCGCGTGCTTGTCTGCGGTCGTGGGAATTCGTGTGCAATGTCGGCCATCCCAAATCGCCGCTCTGAAGCTACTGTATCTCAACATTACTCCTTTCTTTGATATCAAATGAGTGTCATGGGAGCCTCTTAACACCTCTATACCCGTTTAGCATTCTTACGAGTTCGTATCGATGTGGGGGTTGATGCAAAGAAATAGCAGCTGTGACCGGAACTCGTTTCTTGCACACGGTGGCTATTGCTTTACTAAAAAGCGGATCTTGTACGCAGAAGAAGGCACTGCTCCGACACCATGTAGAGCTGCGGAATAGCAGTCAGGCAAGCTATCAGCTGAAACAAAGGATCCACTTTTCACGAAAACGGTTCACGGCCTGACTCACCAGTTCATCTCGCAATCAAATGAGGGTGCTGTGAGTTACCATTGAAGTGATTGTCGTTAAGATATACGCTGACACTAGTCCCTCCTCATCATTCGATCTTGCTCCACGAGTGCGGTTGACAAGCTCTCCAGCTACTAGAGCGGAACCGTCAATGCTGCTGACTATGCTGACGATTATCTTAGAAAAAAGGAAAATCAGAACTTTCTAAGTTCACTGCAAAATACTGCCAGTCCACCCCTATTTTACTAACATGTTGTGCTCTTAGGAACGGATTGTCAGAGGCGGTAAGAGCCAGAAGAGTGAAATCAGAAGAATCGGGACTCGAACAGCATCCAAGCGAAGCATCCGACAACAAGCGAGTCAAAAAAAGAAGCTCACATCACCAGTAGCAGATCCCGGCTCTTTAAGTAATCGTGGAGGAGGGAAATCTTCGCGAAGAGTGGTCAGAACCCAAGGTCCAGCTGAACGTTCCGAGAAGTCTACAAAGAAGTCCGTGCGAGGCCGTAGCGCCCGTTCAGTCTCGCGTGGCCGTTCCAAGCGGAACAGGAAAAAGCGCAGCACCGACAGTCAAAGCAGCAAACGAAGAAAGGCTCTCTGTGGAGCGGGGGGATCATCAATAAGTTGCCGTGGAGGGAAATCATCTCGACGGTCGATAAGACGTGACGTCTCGGCAGGACGTTCCAAGAAGGGTTCGCGTCGTGGCCTTTCAGTCTCCAACAAAAGCTCCAAGAAGAGTTCCAAAAAGATGAGGAAGAGACGGAGCAGGGAATTGTGAACCGTGTAGCAAAACCATGAATTGAATGATTCGCGGATGACTCTAAAACCATCCATCGTTACCCCGATCACACATAGCTCTATATCATTGATAAAGTAATCGTTTACCGCTGTTAATTTTATGGATCAGAGGATCCCGTTTATCGAATTTTATGCACATATGGCTTACTCGCTACTAGATGATATCGAACCCGACCACTCAATATCATCTTTTGCTGACGGTCTCCAGTCTATCATTAGTATCACTAATGGAAGTCGCAGCTAATTCGCGTGTTCTTTTCGTCCCTTAGCCGTTATCACCTTCTACCGTACTATCTCACCCCCTTACCTCCTTTGTTTGTAGTAGTTCTAAATTTTCGTCATAAAAAGCTGACGAATGTATACCATTTTACAATCACACACAACACACATACAACACATGCACACACACATATATATACATACATACACATACACACACGCACACAACACAGCTCACACACACAGACACATAAACACACACATGGGTGCAGGGTACTTCTCTCCGAGAGTCGCGATGCGCCCGCCGCACACGATCGCGCGCGCCAAGAAGGGGGAGTTTAATTCTTAGTGAATGGATACGGTAAACGCGGGGAGTTTAATTCCTAGTGAATGGATACGGTAAACTCGGGAGAGTTTAATTTTTAGTAAATGGGTACGGTAAACTCTGCGGAATCGCTGCGGCTTGCCTGAAAGCAGCGCCACCCTTGAAACAGGATATTCAAATGATTCAGATACGATTTTAAAGCCGTGTCCAAAACGATACAATTTTTTTCGACTGATATTCTGAACTTGTGGCCTTCCTCAGTTCAAACATGAGCAGTAGATGCACAGATCAACCTTGTATACAATGCAATTTGGGTCCACAATTCCTTCCTCGTTTGTTTTGTGACTCTGCTAAGGAAAACCCACTTTCAGCAGTTTCACTCTGCTATTTCGTCAAAAGGAAATGTTAGGAACTGACAATCTATTGTTAGTTATAGCACCATAACACGAACAAACTATCGCAGCGATTTGTTTAAACCAAAGCACACTGTAGTAATGTTTTGTCTGATCACACAAATAGCTCACGCATTCAATGCTCCGCCGAAAAATGCCAGTGCGATGGCTGGTCTCCGTATGCATTATGTTTCATCGTTCCGCGTTTGTTTCAAAATTTTTTCCTTCATACATTTTCATTGCCTGTCTAACTTTCCCTCAGCCAAGTCGTAATGCCCTTTTCAAAGCTGTCAATACCAAAGAGCCTCTAAATGTCACCATAGGCACCCCTCCAGCGGGTGCATGATGGGGGTGGGCGCTGTTCGTCGGAACAGAAAAACCAACGAACCCCAATGAACAGAATTTTGTTTAGGTTAGGGTAAAGACCTTGCTGGAGGTGAAAATTGTCTGTTGCTACTGCTTAGATTTGATCTCTTATTCTTCCTCAGAAAAAACCTTCGCACTGTTGCCTTCGACGGAGCAATTTATCCCATTGAATCGAACGGATTTTCGGACTTAACTGAGTTCACATATAGGCTCTAGATATGTTCGATATTGTACTGGGGCTGTATGAATTCGAAAAGTTACGTAGTAGTAAGTTCTTAATGAGACCTTTCACCACACAGCAACAGCATTTTGTCATCGTTGCTCAGAAGGATATGGAGACAAACTTTAGATTTTTCTTTGGTTATTTATAGAAGGGCGGATGGCGGACGTTGAACTCGAATCGCATTGTCGTAAGCACGCACGCGAGCTTTTACCGTAATAATGCACAGGGAATTCGAATCTTACGTCTACACTAGGCCTATGCTCCCGCACCGTGGCGGATGCAACGAGCAAGGCATACCATTCGGGTGAGATCACGTTCATGTTAGCCCTCACCAAGGAGTCTGGGGAAGACTCTGGTCGTATATGTGTGGCATACTGTCTTGAATCGCCCAACACCATAAGGATCCCACTTGTTCAAAGGCTCTGAGTTTTTTTTTGAAGCGAGCTTTTACCGTAATAATGCACAGGGAATTCGAATCTTACGTCTACACTAGGTCTATGATCCCGCACCGTGGCGGATGCAACGAGCAAGGCATACCATTCGGGTGAGATCACGTTCATGTTAGCCCTCACCAAGGAGTCTGGGGAAGACTCTGGTCGTATATGTGTGGCATACTGTCTTGAATCGCCCAACACCATAAGGATCCCACTTGTTCAAAGGCTCTGAGTTTTTTTTTGAACACAAGGACAAGTCATGGAAATGGAGCGATGTGGAAATGGACAGAGTGGCGTATCATTTTACAGGGATTACATTCCAAACAATTCATTCTAAACGCCTGGGAGCAAAGAAGATGGCCAAAGCAATCGTACATCAAAAGTGTACAGATTTTAATAGTTCCGCACTAGCCCAGTTCCCACCTAGGCCAACCAAGCCTTCCATCCCTTCAAGCCGGTTAGTTGGTTACAGATCTGTCTGGGAGGATGAGAACACTGTCTTGTACAATAGCTGGCCACCACAACTCATTGTATAGGCCGCATACGCATTAAATACGCCATTACGATTCTGAATGGAAGTCAAATGCGAAAGCGCATCTCACAGACGGAATTGATTAACGCCCAAACACTTTACCCTTCATCCTTTACTATACTTTTCTAATAGAGAGAGGCGAAACAGAGACAAGTGGTGAAAAAAAAAGTCCGATATCAGCTCCCGGTTCTACTCACTCGAGGGCCGCTGACACTGACTTGCATATTGGCTGGCCACCACAATTTATCGGCCACGCTGGAAATGGAAACTGAATGCTAGGAAGAGTATTGATCAATCCTACTAACGGAAGTGGTCTTCTTTTGGTAGCAGTCTTATAATCTCGTCTACTGCCCACTGCTCCATTCCTCTCAACAAGAACCGCAAATTACTCAAAAGCCATGTTCAAGTGACCAAACCTGGGTATGGTAGGTGCACGTCGATCTGTAGCTCACTTTGCTGCGCGGGACATGCTCGTGAAACTATTCTTACACTTTTCATAAGCATCCATGTTCGACTCTCGATGAATCTTGGCATAGCTTTGCATTGATGTTATAAGACTTTTTTTTAAAAACCTGCTGCCAAGATGTTAAATAAGTTCTTATCAACTTACGTTTCGGCGTAATCGCCTTCTTCAGAGCCTGGAAACCTGTGTATTATCATTATCCATCCTTCATTCAACAAATAAACCTCAGAAAACCGGTTCCCTAGACTAAATGTCTCCAAACTGGCATGATAACCCCAAGCATGTTTAACCCACCTTTAAGAACAG